TTAATTCTCGATGAAGAAACGATTTCAGACCAGCTTTTCGAAGTTCTTATGTCAAATCTTGCAAGATGGACACGAAAGGTGTCTATCACAAGTTTTGAACCGCTTCCCACTTTAGGTTTTAACCGAGGAGAGAGAACTTAAAACCATTGTCACATTCTGTTTAAAGATAGTAATCTGGGACGAATCTGCCTGGGCTAGCTCGGGATTGAATATCTAACGTGCTAGTTCGTCCGTAACTGTCTGAGCCTCCGCAAAAATCGCCACAGTGATTGAAAGACGGCTGAGGATCTCTTCCCAGGAAAAAAGAGACAACGTTGGAGAAAAAAATGTGAAGTTGGTTATAACCGGTTAGGCCACTACGATTATTTCATCGTACTCTCTCCCTTTTTGGGAGTTGTTGAGCTAGTAGGAAGTGAACATGGAACTAAAGTCGACACTCTTTTCTGCAATGATTTCGTTGTCAGTTTATAGAATCATTTAACTTTCAAACGATTGAGGTTACTTTTCGGAACCTACTGCTTTTAATTTTACATCAAAATCATGATTTAGTACGGCAGATTCTTAAATATTTGTTTTAGTCATACGAAGTATCTCAACCCTAATAACACCTCTTTCAAGAATAATATGTTTTTTTCACCACGACATAACCTTTTTCCTCTACAGTCCTCGGTGCTTTTAAAAATCACACCAAAACAAGTCTAACTTTATTGTTTCCAGCCAGTAGTACTTCAGGGTTTGGTGTTCAGAAAAGTCGCCATCGAGTCATCAAGGGCTTTCATGAATGTAGAGCGGTGAATTGGGGACTGGGTTCCAGTAAACTTGCTGGTGTGGCTTCGATCTCTGTAAGTGAGGATGTCCTCATGTTTGTGTTGTTCCCAGTCATGGAACTGTTGGGCGGTGTCCAGGTCAAATCCGTAGTTTGCATCCTTGGCGATGTCGACCAAGTATTCAGTCTGGAAATTTATATCATCGTAGCAGTCTTTCAGTTCATTCATTCTGAAATTATGAAAGAAAAAATAAAAAACTTCCATTTTAGTATCATTCGTGACATGTTCTGTAACTGATCCGTTAAGTGGCTTCCTTTCTTCTAATGAAATTTTTTGGTGCGTTTATTTGAAGTCTGCAGCTCTTGTCTAAAAACAAAGGAACATATTCAATACTTTAAGCCAGGATTACCAAATATCTACGCGTTCGGATCTCCCTTTCGA